GGAAAGAGTACGACCTTAAACTTGTTCCGATTTTTCCTTAATTTAGTTGCCTAAGGATTCTGCTGTCAACTTGTCAAGCATCACTTAGCTAGCATAAAAGAGTATGTCTCCCCTAAGCTGAACTAATGTTCACATTATATCAAGTGCTACTTTAAAGTATTACATAGAATTACATTTCTCTGCATGCAGTAATTCAAAGTAAGGAGAGATATTTCAGTGGCTTTCCAGTTTATTGGCTGTTTATATCTAACATATAAATGTTTATATCTATATGTAATGAACAAGAGGTATTCCTTTGTTTCTACAGCTGTGGAATCACCAATCTCCTTGTGTCTCTCAGTGTGCCTATAACAGAGACACTAAATAATGCTGAGCATTGTAAATTTACAGGGTGCTCCTATACAGACCCATGAGAATGAAATCTTTGCTGCGATAATGCGCAAGCTATGTTATAAAACGTTTAAATGTGATGTCATTTAGTAGCCAAGTATTACCATGACTGACCAATCACTTGCCATAAAGTCTTCATTTCAGAGAAGAGTTAAATACATGCTTAAGCTTCTCTGTATTCCACAAAGGCTTAAAGCCAATAATTTAGTATGTCAGTAATGACTGTAAGTGCATTGCTAAAATAGGGAGGATTTTTTAAAATAATATGAAAAGATTTTATTTAAAAAAAATCAGAACTTTACTCCTGTTTCCAAAATATGTTAAATTGCATCCATTTGTTTGCCTTATTCACAGACAAAAGTTCTGGAATGAAGTACATGTTAATGCCATACTGAGGTAGCACACCACTTAGTTCAGAACAGATGATACCTTCTAAACAGCTGAAATCACAAACTGTCCACAGGGTGGAGTTTACAGCTGAGAAAGAGTAGATTATGGCCAGAAGTATTTTCATTATGTTAGAAATAGATATTCTCCAGAGGCCTAAAGATACTTCATTTGTAAAAATAAAACAACATACAAGGTCATTATTCAACATTATTATTATTATTAATATTATATAGCTAGCATGCCTGCCTGCTGCACGATACAAGTTAGCAAAAGCAATCCAGGCAACAAGGAAGGTTGAATGTGGCTTCAAAGAGCTGTAGTGATTAAAAATTTACCAAATTTTTCCTTCTGTTTTGCTCTTATGCTTACTACAATCTCTAGAATATTTATAACATTAAAGAAAAAGAAATATATTCATTCTCCCACCAGACAAAAGAGCCTTGTCAACCCATTCTATTCATTTAAAAAAAAAAAAAAAAAGCCTGAATAAAGGACTAGATTTTGCAGCCTGATCCAAAGACAAATTAGACATTGTAAATCCATAGACAGCAAATATATGAGAATTTGTTTTCCCACTGCTCATGAGACACTCTAGTAAATGCAGGAAGAATTTTTTTCTAATGTTGAATGACAAGGGATATTTAATTAGATTTGGCACTGAAAGAAAATATTTCTTCTTCTGCATGAATGAGCCTTTGTTTTAAAGTGTAGCCTCTAATTTTACTTTTCTCATGTCAAACTAATCCTGTTAAACCTTTGCAGCTTAGTCAGATGCAAAGCTAAAGTTATCTTTGATAGTCTAGTGAGATTCTTATTGATGTTGACACTGCTTACTGTTTTGAGAAAATGTAAATGATTTCCTGATTTTTTTCAGGAAATCAGTTTTTGTTTCAAAGATAATTTCTGGGACCTACAAAGTTCTGGGACCCATACAGTTGTACGGGCTTAAATTGATCCAAAAAAAATCATTAGGTCAAAAAGATACTCCTTTCCCATTACTGCAACTTCTCTCTAAGTGCCAAACCCTTATATACTTCTCTGTCTAGAATAAGCTGTAGAAAAATAGATGAGATTTGTTGTTTGCCCTAGAGGTTCTCTGCAGTGAGGCATTTAACGAGTCGTTTGGTTGCGTGGCAAAGTTAGCTGCTCATGCACGTTGATCATATCCTACCTTCGCAATGCTTTGGAATTTAGCCAACAAGCTTCATGCAATTTTCGAAAGTTCCCACATGGCTGAACCAGTTTGTCTCTGTGAATGTTGTTTCAAAGTCAAGATCCATCTTTGAACCCTCAAGCATTTCAAACAGAAAATTTTTAAAAAACATTTTAGGATGACTTTTTATAGGGAGAATCAGGCTTTTTCTATTTCTTTGCATTCTATTTTTTGTTTCCTTGCACCCAGAAACTATGAAAATGTTTTTTTTTCTCTCTCACATGCACAGAAGACTTCATCTTCAGATTCGACCCTAGGAAATGTCACCATAAACTGAGTTTTTAAGAAAAGTATCAACCATGGAAAACAGGGGACTGGAATAGAAACAAATATGGCATGTGAAACACTGTTTCTGTTATCATCCCTACTGCACATTCTATTTTTATATCTCCTTTTTAGTTAGATATGCAGTTGTACTATGTGAAAACCTCTTCACTGTTATTTCAAAAAATGATGTTGCAACCTGTAGCAGTAATCAGAATATGTTAGGTAAAGTAGCCTTATTTAAGCTCTTGCTATTTCATTTTGTGTATTTAGGGGTTTATATGTCTTATATAAGACTTTTACAAGTAACTGGATTAGGAACTTTAAGTACTATGCATACACATTTAATTTCTTGGACTTGAGCTGTTCTTTTTTCCTGTCCCTCTCCTTTGTTAAAACAGGCTGGTCCTCTGTTTAGAGCTCCGTTTTCACTCTCCCAGGAAAACTAAGTAAAATCATTATGTAATAATGGCAAAGTATACATCGTTTAAAAATATCATTTATGCAGTTCATGCTTTACAATATAAAACCTTGAGCCTAAGGCACAGAGACCTAGTTTTGTATTGGTATGGTTAATTATAAAACTTGTCAGCTGTAGCAGCACTGTGATGTCTGACAGTGAAATAAGCCATCATAGCTCTTACATTTTGGAAAGCATGTTTTGCTTACAGAAATGAGAATAAATTAAAAATTGAATAACTTGTGTAACAGAAAAAAACACTCTTTGTCTAGAAAGGCTGCAGTAGATTGTATCTATCTGGATAAGCAATATGTTGTGAATTCATTTAAAAATGTGCATTTTGGCTTAGTGCTGCAGTGATAACACAGAGCCATTCTTATATTCCAGCCAGTGCAGATAAATATTTTAATTCACATTACTGAAATGAGAGGATGACAAAACATGGAGTTACAAGGGATAAATTAAACTGTGGCTCATAAATAACATCATTCAATGCCAGCAAAAGACTGTTCAAGAAACTGATCATTTCTTGTCCCACACCTAGAAAAAATCTAGGAAAACAGATGTGCCTTGCAGCTTTCTCGGATGGTAATTCAGTTTGGGCTCTAGCAAATAGAAATCTCAGAGTCTGAGAGCCACAATGAAAACACATTGCTAGCAGCTATCTCATAGACATTGTAAAACCAAGATGCCACCTTCCAGCTCAAGCATCTCAGATAGACTCAGCTGCCACACTGTCACATGAGGTGGGGGAGAATCTGTCTAACGACCAAACCTTAAAGGCTTGAAACAAAAGATCAAAAAGACCTTTTAAGCCAGAAATCAGTTTGCAACACGCATAGATCACTGTTCATGCTAGTTCTATTTTCACTGCCTGTCTCCGATTTTATATTTTTCAGTATTTCAAAATAGCATTTCTCCAAAAAGCCAATGAAGAAATGCAGATTTCCACATAAATCCTATCAAGTAGTGTTATTACTCTCTCTCTCCACAGTAATTCAAACCTTAGATCTACTCTGAACAGTAACATAAGGTCGTTCTTCTGTACAAGAAGCAGCAGAAACTAGTTGGGGATTTTGTCAGCAAGATCAGAAAAGAAAGAGCCGGGGAGTGGATTCATGGCTTATGAGGTCTGAGGAACAATATGTGAACAGACATATCGTCTCTAACATGCCTGATAGTGACTAAAAAACCTATGTAGAATTAAGGTTAAGGTCTACGTTTTTTTTTTTAGTTTGTGATCTCTTAGGTCAGTTGGCTGTTTTCACCTCTCATATTGTCTTGCAAACCCACATCTTTTACTTTTTAAAGTGTACCTTGAGAGAGTCCATAATTGCTGTCCTGTTTGGTTACTCTAGTTTGATGGTCATCCTTGGTTCTGCATCCTTCTGTCATCATGGATTCCCACAACTCTTGTCATATTGTGTATTTCCTTTGTTATGTTCCTTATAAACATTATTTGTGACCATCAGCTCCTCCCACTTGTCTGTTTTCATGTAAATATGCAATAATACCAGGATCTAAACTCTTTAATATACAATTAAATCCACATTGGCTTAGTTTTGATGGCATTCACTAGAAGTGTGTCTAACAAGACAGGTTCAAGCAGCATGAATGCTAGGATGTTTTTTGTGTCTCCTAAGCAAAGACAGATGGATGCTATATATTTCATTTTAGCTAGGCATAGCAAATTACTGTAGCTTGAATAGCTTATAGTTAAAATTTTCACTTGGAAAATGATGCCATTTTCATGGCTACTGAATTAATTCAAAATTTGAATAAATGGAGTGTGCTTTCCAGGGTTTAAAGTCAGAAAAGATACTTCCTGGGAATTTTCAGAAGACTTATTTATTATACATATTTCAGGTTCCACAGGAAAAGTAGTAAATAAGCTGTATTGTCAATAGCAATAGGTATGAGGGTTTAATGCAACATTCCCATTACAATTTTTTTTTTCAATAGCATCAACAATAATAAAATTGTTGCAAGACTTTGGCTGCAGTTTTAATGACAGAAAAGTGGAAACCTGGTACTGTGGGTAACAAGCAGCAGCACACCCACAGGTTACCCAGTGATAGGCTTGTCATGACTCTCAACACTAATCTATGATTTGTAATGGTTTGCCAAGCTGCCGACACTCATTTAAGCCAAAATGAACTAAAGTCATTTGGGGATTTTTTTAATTTTACTGCCTACAGTGTTGGTAGTTCAAATCAAAAAATAGTTTGTACAATTACAAATACACTTTTCCCTGAGGAGAGGAACACATTTGTCCTGAGGATGCCATTTTCACCCTCCCTTTCTGATCCCATTTCTTTCTCATTACTCAGGGGAAAAATGAATTTTCTGTGTGTTTAGAAACAAACTGTTCTAATTTAACTGGAAAGAATATTGGGTATACAATAGGAATCCATAGAGATTACAGAGGAACTGTTTCTGACAGCATGCCTTCTACTTGGAAGATATCTTTGCCTGTAACTAAAGGGAGAGATTAAAGAAGAGGATAATTAATGTTAGCATCTTCCATGCTAACACGTACAATTATGATGCTCACACTGTGCGCTTGTCATTATGTAAAAGTGACCTTTACAGCTCACTCAGCATGTTGGCTAACATTTTGCATATCACTGAGCTGCCTAGAAAACCATATTTAGCTCTTACCGTAGTCCCACAAAAGCAGCTTGTGACAATGCATATGTATTCTGCTAAATTTTTTCTTCTTTTTCTCCTTGGCTACCAATTTTACAGAAATCCATCTGCTATATTCATATTTATCTGGTTCTTTTTTAAGTGCCTTGCTACATGGGAGTCCTTCCTAACATCTCAAACAGCGGGTCTTCATGTGGAAGAAGATTCTGAAGATAGGCCTTGAGTAATATCCCTGGCTGATCTACCTTTTCCCTGCAGTTTCTCCCAACCAAAGAAGTGCTCTTTATATGAGATCAGAAACATTATTAAATATAACTGTTAAAATTCAGTGACACGCAGAAAACCAGCTTATTGAAAACTCAGGTATTCTAGTGTCCTGAAATACTTTTTGGATCATGCTATATATTGCTTTATATTGCTCAGTTGTGACTTTACATATTTTTATGCAAGTGTTTGCATACAAATGTTTTCATAAATATTGCATAATTTGGATATAAAATATTTTAAATATGTAAAAATAGCTTAATTTTAATAAAAAGTTTAATAAGAAAATTCTGCCTTCATTCTATTTCCTACTCTTTTAGAAATATTTTCTTATTTTAGTTTGCTTGTTATATTCACATGTTGAGTAAAATCTGTATTTGTAGAAAATCCTGTATTTGAAAAACTACATAGCATAGTCTTCAAGGAGCTCTTTTGAGGATTATTTTAATAGCTCACGCTAGTCTCTCAGTGCCAAAGTGGTATGGAAAGATGCTGAACCTGTTCTGTGAAGATAAGATTCTGTTAAAGTACCGTTAATTCAGTTTCCTGAGCAGTAAACTAAATGGTGGTCAAAAATTGTACAATCTGTTTATTGTCTGTTAGCAGTATTTACATGTCCGCTAAAAATCTTTCATCTGGCCTTTGGTTAAAGGATAAAGAGAAAATACCAGCAAACTTACAGTTCATGAAATCAACTGTTTCTATAACAATGTACAGCTAGCTGCAACACTGATCCTGCCAACACTACAACTTCCATTTGGAACTGGCAGGACGGAGGCTGATGGCCCTTACTCCCTTACCTGACCTTCCTATAATCCTTAACTTCTTCCCTCTAGACGCAGGAATCAGGAGAAGACAGTCAGCTGAACTGTGGCTCTGGCCTTCCGTAACAGGAGGACTTTAGCCCTCCCCTTCTACTAGTGATAATTTGTGAGCCGACTGTTGTCTCTCACAAAGGGGTTCTGGGGGGATATTCTTAAGCACTCAGCTGCGCTTGGGTGCCCACAGACCTGGCCAAGCTAGACTTTAGGCTGACAGGTCTTTTTAGTGGCTTTGATGTTAAGAAATTTAGATTGCAAATGAGACCATAATAAATCCAAGCGCGGCATTTTCAGCAACGTAAGGCAGGCTGCTGTCAGGCTGCCCCATGAAGCATTAATGAAAGCTCAGCTGAATTTTTCTGAGCTATAAAATTAAGATGCTTGTGAAATACTACAGGAAGCATGCATCTCTCCCAGCCTGGAAAAATGTAAAAGAACTTGCTATTCTTACAAAAGAACAGAGACCAGCCACTGTCAGGGGAGGCCCAGGCTGGGCCAGGTGCAAGGCGTCTGCAGTGCAGTGTCCTCTCCAGCCGGGCCGGCGGTAGGCGCTCAGAGGAGGTGTGGAAGAACTGGGTGGTTGTACTGTGCTCTTTTCCCACTATGTCTTTCCCCCTCAGAAATCTCTTACGTCAGAGCTTTTATCAACGTGCTTAACAGGCCTTAATGACTTTTTTCATCTGTGAATTTCTTGTGTGTGTGAATCCATCTAAACTTTTAGGATTTATTGTAATGAGTGTAAGTGAATTAAATTTGCAGGAAAAATCAATTCCTTTTCTGATTTTTAAGACAGCTACCCAATAATTTCAGGTAAGGCCCTCTACGTCTTAAACTGTCAGAAGAGCTGAACAACTGTTTCCCATTTGTCTTCTTTGTGCTACTCAAGAATTTACAATCTTCTAGCACATATTCCAAGTGCTGTGTGTTTTCTAAGAAGAAAAGAAGCCATATCCTAATATTTTTTGTACAAAAGCCATTTCACAGCTGTGCTCATCGTTGTCACTCTTCTTTGTATTTTCAGTTTTGCTGCAATGAGTGTTCAAGATGCAGACATACCAGAAATGTACACTGCCACAATTATGCTTTGGGTTTTTTTTACCATTCTTTCCTATTAATTCCTCATTTATTTTTTGAACTGCTGCTGAATGCTGAACTGCCATTTCACAGAACTGTCCACTAACATTAAGAGCTATTCTGAAGAGTACTAAATAATTCATTTTCTATCAGGGTGTATATATAGGAGAGTTGGCTTTTCCCAAATGAGCATTAATTTGCATTTATTAATATTCAGTTTTACCTGCCATTTTTAGTTTCCAGTCTCAGTAGTGTAAGCTCCTATAAGCAGGCTTCCTACAAGACAGGCAACAGTAACACTCTGAATACCAGACAAGAGAAAGTTCAAGACAGTGAGCTTGAACAAGAACTGGGAGAATATGAATGCGTAAGTGTAACCAGAAATTAAACAGAATGCCTGCAATTTAAGCTCCTCTGAGAAAAGGTTAGCTGAGATGGGGAATACCACTGTGCACATCGTTTATTTTACCCGTACATTTTGCCAGTGCACGAAGCTGCTCTCTGAGGCACCTCATAGGTGCAAGAAAAACACAGTTCAGCAGTCTGCATACTTCAGACAAAGCAAACTCTGTGACTACCTCACAAAAGTCAAGATAATAGTGTCTGGGCATCTGAAGAGCCATCAGAGAGAGATTTAGCATCCCTGGGAACAACAGCGGGCTGCAGTTCATTATTTTCACAATTTATTTTTCACTTCTTTTCCTCTAACTAGGCCATAACTTATGAGGGGAAACACCTTAGTAATCAGTTATGTAGAGGCTTTCTTGTGGGACTATGTTCTTTCTTTTCTGATTTTCTAATAGTAGTATTATCACCTCTGAATGACTTTTTAGATAATTTATTGTGTATTTAGCCCTGTTTCAAAAGATTTTTTAAGGAGTCTTAATTTCCTTAGGTTAAAGCTTAAAAAGTGCTTGAACTATTCTATTACTCTGAATCCATCTGCCTATATTTACTGAATTTTCTTTGTGCTGTTTTCAGATATAGACTGAATATAGACTTTGTATATAGACTTTGTATATATAGACTGTTCAGGCTCAGCCATTTAAAATAAGTTTCTGACTACTTACTTCTAGCTACCAGTTACTTAAAGATAAGACTTTCTCTCTCTCTCTTGCTTTTTATTCTCAAATTTGTGAGATCACTTTAACAACATTATTGTTTTATTGCAAAATGAAACGAAAAATTCAAACTGCACCTTGCAGTTTCCTAGCTGTATAACAACAACCTAATATATAACTACTACAGCTTAAGAGCTTTCTCTGGCAACCAGAGACAGTATGGTTCATAGTAGTTTTTATATATATCTTGTCATCAAGACTTGTTATAAGCTTTTGCCATGACCCTGTGAGATCTGGCATGAAGAAGAGAGCATCCTACAGGAAACGAAGGTCCTCACTCTGCAACGTACCAACCATACATTTTAGAGTGTTTTCTTGGCCCAACAATTCCGTTTATTGCAGTGATGCCATTTTCTGCCCAGCCTCAGAGAAGGGAGCATTGGCAAATAGCCTATACTTTCAAAGTGCCCATTACAGCATTCTCAATTTATGTACAGATACTGAAAAAAACTCATTTTCAGTGTGCAAACTCCAACTACTGGTTAAGCATAACCAACTTCCTCAAACAATATTGTGACTGCACAGTTTGCAGGGCTGCAAGGTTCAGTTGTCTTGGTCTGTACCTTGACCACAAAGAGAAGAAAGAAACAAGACAGAAGAAAAGGTCATTTGTTGGGAATATGCTGCCTC